GCTTAGCCGCCACATAGAGTACCATGTCAGTATTATTGACACCCTTGCAGTGGTGAGAAGGTGGAACGGTAAAGTAGCTGCACAGACTATCCTCTTCAAACTCAGGAACAACCAACGAACCATTCACACGGTCAACCAGCAGACGATCCGCGTGCAATTTCACGGCTGCCGGAAGGACATCATTCTTCAGGTATTGCATATCCTCTGTCTTCAGGACATTGTAGTTGTGGCACTTGATGGGATTGCCCTCAAAGTCCCAGATCGACATCCCCTCCTTGCTGCAGTACTTTTTCGTGTTTTGCAAATCCCTCGTTGAAGTATTAATGCGGATCAGCTTGCGTCCCTTCGTGTAGACAGTGTACGCCTGCGATGCATCCTCTCCCTTGACGGGCAACTCCAGCACAACTTCAGTCGACTCCTCGGCGAGGATTCCACTCGTGCTGCATAGCTGTACAAACAACAGGAGCAGGAGAAACAGTGAGACGTGCATCTGTCGGGGCATTCTCTCAGAGACGTGTATAATGGATATATAGGTATGCTTGCCTTGTGGCTTTTAAACAGTAAATCTACAAGAAAAAAAGAAAAAGAAAGTAAGAAAATCAGAAAAGAGAGTATCGTAGTACATGGTATGCAGTTGCAAGAACCAGTTCACATACAGCAACTATCACCCTTCTGTAAATTCAAGTACAGAACCTCTGCAACAATTGTCTGCATGAGGACTCATTACTCTAAGGTCCACAAGCAAGCAACAACAACACCCCATCAGAAGTACTACTCTGCCATTACAGTATAAAAGAAAAGAGCCCTCTCTCCTTGAACATGGCAATTATATGATGTCGACACGCATGTAAGCCTTTGGACTCACCGGTATTTCAACTCGAGGTCCGCAAAGGGGCATAACACAGAACCCAGAAGAAGAGCAAAGGCAAAGCCAATCATCCACCTGCACTCCCCCAATGCCAGATTCAAAACACCTCAGGGCCCATGACAAAATCAATCATTCACCATCAACAACAAAGACGACAAGAGGTATGAGAGGAGAGTTGTTTACAACTTCCACAAGAGGGTCTAATACCCAATGGCATAGCAGTTCCCACCGGCCCATTCAGAAGAACATCGCCTCCACCCGCAGCCGCGCCCAGCCGCCGGCTCCGTCATCACAGGCAACACCACAGGTAATGTATGTATACAATGTATCCTAATGATTGTATGTGCACATATATATATGAGAGAGAAAAAGAGAGAGAAATAGAGACTATGTGTGTGTACATGTGCATGTAGAGAGAGGTATACCCACTACAGGTCCAATGGGTCATCAGCGATAACACACAACCAACCAACTGATCAAACAAAACATCATTATTCCCCAAGCATGATTTCTTCCGAAAGAAAAAAAAACTCCTTATCAAAAAAAATTAAAAATATTAAAAAAGAAAAAAATGTATATAAGAGAAGGCACTCCATATATAAAAAAAACTATTTTTACTTATCACTTCCGTTATTTGCAATATAAAATAATTCAGCCTCTCACTCTGTCGGAAGTCAAAGAATGTATATAATTCATTACAAAAGCCTAAATCATATAGAATAGTTATTTTTTTTTTCTCTTTACCACACATTAACCAAGGAGAAGAAAGAAGAAAAACTCTAGCTGAAGCACACTCACATTAGCAGTTGTCCTCACACAAAAGGAACACAATTCAGCAGGCATACAGAGCGTACCCCAGCATCCTTGTGCTTTTGAACAAACATCATTCACACTCCCACAAAGGACACCTCACTAGTAAACCTCGGCAGAGCTCCTCCAACTGTTTCTCTTTCATCTCCCCAAGAATATCAAACGGAAACAAAGAATTTCAATATTTGCATTAAAAAAGAAAAGAGAATGAAAGCAAAAAGTTATTTTATCTTCTTATTCAGCCCATATTTTCTTCGCGACCTCGCGTGCGAGTGCGGCGACGATGAAATGCACCTTGGGCATGTAAATGAAGAAAAAAGTCGCTGGTGCCAGTTGCAGCCCAAGTAGTGTAAAAAAAAACAATATATATATTCAAGGTCTCTGTACTGCATGTGTCATCGTCACCGCTCTTCACGGCGTCAGTCATTAGGATTACATTAGTCATCTATTTCTTCTTTTGGTTCTTTTTCCTTGGCAGGCTGTGGAACAACAAGACTGCTGCCGTTAGGGGCCATGGTACACACCTCACTGTACTTGGGGCACTTGATCTGGCTTTCCGCAGTAAAATTAGCGGATACCAGGGTGATGTATTGGTTTTCAGGGCAGAGTATCCAATTGCTTTCATTACCAAGATATTTCACCTTCACTTGATTGTCCTCACACTTGATCTTTGCACACACGCTGTCGAGACGGACGGATATGTCGTCGAAGCTGTACTTGTACCGCAGGTCCTTTCCGTCCACGCACCACGCGTCACTGCCTTTGATTGATCCCATCGTGGGTTTGGCGCTTTCATCGGCGCATATGCCGCTGATGTAAGTGTTGCTGTCCAACGAGTCAAAATAAGGCACAACAACTGGACACCCCTCTGGCTGCGTCCACCACTTATTTTCTTCCGGCTCGCACGTCCCAACACCCAGGCGGTCTGTTGTGCAGGGGAATCTGTGCCTCACAGTGTCGCAGAAGAGTGATGGAAAGTTGGGAACCTTCCACTTTTTCTTTGTCCAGCTGTCGATCGTATCACTTTCATTCACACACATCCCATCCATTAGCGAGCATCCAATATTGCTTCCCCATGTCATGGACTCGGCCATATCAAATTTTGCCCTGTAAAATCCCATATCATGAAATGTAGAAAGTGTCAGCACTGTATACAGTCCTGCGCTGGCCATCTGACGTGTGCTCATCAACTCATCCTTCGCGTTCCTCATCTTCCAGTGCGACAACACCGTCCCCTTCGCGGTGTCCTCATCTTCCAACTCCATACCGTCAATGGTGGTACAGTTGTAGTGCTTCTGTGCCTCCTCCTTCGTCCGTGTGGAACTGACCACCACCGCGTATACTTTCCTCTCCACATTTTTGGTGGCCCTCGTCATGTTGAGCTTGTTCATCTGGTAGAAGCTGAAACCGAGAGCATGTGCAATCTCATGTGCAGCAAAGCGAGTATAGACCCTCACATTTGTAAGATTGAAGTAGGCAAAGTTCATGGCAGCTACAACTGGGCGACCATCCTCTGCTGTGGCACAAGGGGCAGCGAAAGTCTTTCCAGGTCCAGCAGCCACATAAAGCACCATATCGGCATTGGGCACTCCACTCTCCTTGTGGTCCTCAGGCACCGTGAAATACTTACACACACTGTCATCGTTGGTGAAATCGGGAACTTTAAATGGTTCCTTCACGTGTACCACTTCAAGACGTTGAGCATGAAGCTTAACAGCCTCAGGAATAATTACATCCGTAAGATTTTTCATCTTTTCAGGAGTAATTTCTGCTTCCTTGGTGCACGGAAGATTTCCCCCAAGGAAGTCCGGTCGGGTTTCACGTTTTTCTGCATCTCCCTTCTTACAATACTTTGATTCGCTCTGCAGATCCTTCATAGACACATTGATGCGGATGGTGCCCCATTCATCGTCTGTGGAAACTAAGTATGGCTGTATACTCTCCTCTCCTTGCTTGGGTACAATCTTTATAATGTTTTGTACACCCTTTTTGTACATCACGTCGTCGAAGCTGCAGTGGTGCACGTCTGGGGAGGTGGCGGTGGCATCGGCAAGAAAGCACACACTGGCGGAGGAAAGCAACAATGCTGTAAGAAGTAAGAATGTATGCTGCCAGCGGCTCATTTCGGTTTATAGTTTCGTGTTGGAATAGCTCAGAGAAAATCAGTGTATAATCTTTTAAGTAAGAAAATAAAAAAAAGAAGAATAGAAAAAGAAATATATTACAGGCAATGGACACATCATAAGATTGACACCAGTCAATATTCAAAAGAGAATGTGACTGCTCTCCAACCCAATGCAGGTATATTGCTTACAGAAAATAGTAATAAAAATAATAATAATAATAAGCATATATAAAATGGTTTGGTATATAAAGAGCAAGGTATCCTTAAACGCACAAATACTTCTTTCCAATTAAAAGAACCCAAAAGAATGCGTAAAATAATGTTTCTGTATTATTGGATATGGGTAACGCACAAAAAAAAAAAAAAAAACCCCTCACCTAGTGACACAATATTTGAATCCTCAAATAGAATCAACTTTTATGTATATGTATATGTGTCGAAAGATTTGACTAAAAAAAAGGAAAGAAAAAAAAAAANAAAAAAAAAAAAAAAAAAACTCTCCACCTAGTGACACAATATTTGAATCTTCAAATAGAATCAATTTTTATGTATATGTGTCGAAACATGCGACTAAAAAAAAAAGAAAAAAAAAAAAAACACTCTCCGTTGTCTAAAACGAAATTATCATTTTATAAATTCTCGACGGAGATGAAAGCAAATAAAAAAAAAAAGAGTTTATACTTTAGTTTGCATTATTATAGAATATTAAAAGAATTTCTTTATAGCATCAATTTTTTTAGCACCATTCAACAGATTCGAAACATTCGATTTTACAGAGGAGATATTCACAGTGTCTTTTATGCGATCTTGTAATTGTTTCGCCATTCCCCCTGCTGCTTCTGCTTTTTTTGATGCTTCTTCAAGAAGACTACTTGCTTCTTTATTTTTGGTGTTTATATCATTTTGTATATTTTTCATATACTGGTCAAGTTCGTTACCCTTATTTGTTTCCTTCTCCCGCACAGCATCTGCGTACACCTTCTGCAGCAATGAGACTTCCTCTTGCTTCTCCTTCGCCACATCAATCATTACCATTACAAGTGCCTCTCCCGCCTTTTTTGTTTCTTCTTGCAATTCTTTTTTAATCTCGTCTGGATTACCTCCCGTAGCTGCTTTTACTGCCAGACCCGTTGCCATCTCGGTTGATTTTTTTTTCGTTTGTTCCACCCATTCTGTTACTTTCTTCTGTGCAATAACGACGGCCTCACATGCGGCTTTACGTGATTTAATGGCTTCTTCCCACTTTGCCTTTGTGCTGATGATGACCTTAGAGTCCTTTAGTTGCAGCTGTGCCTTTTCCGCCGCTGCTGTTACCTTCTTCGCTGCTTCAGACTTTGTGGCGTACTCGCGACGAGCATCCTCAGCAATTTTGCGAAGTTTGGCAATTTCAGCAATCGCTGACATGAGGTTGTGTTTGGGTCTTTTTTTTTTTTCTTTTTTTGTGTTGTCTGTTGTGCTGATGCGGGTTATAAGCGGGTTGATGGGAAAAGCAAGATAAGGGGGATACACTCACAAGATCAGGAAATTTCTAAATGAATGCATGTATGATTCTGTCTAGAGTAAGCATCAAGGATTCACACAGACTCATCGAATAAAGGTAAAGGTCTGTGTTGGTATATATATATATTCGAAGAGAGAGAGAGAGATAGGGGGTGAGGGGGTTGGGGGGTTGTGGTGAAATACAAACAAAATTCGAGAAATAATGTAAAATAAGGATAAAAGAACACAACAGAATTGAGAGAAATAATATATAAATACATATATATAAACACTGAAAAGATGTAGAAGAAATAAACCAAAG